CCAAACACACAACCACACAACCAACAACCCAACCACCCAAACACAGAACCATCCACCAACTCAACTACCCAACCAAACACTCAACCACCCAACCAACAACCCAACCATCCAAACACACAACCACCCAAACATACAACTACCCACCAACCCAACTACCTAACCAAACATTCAACCACCCAACCAACGACCCAAAAACTCAACCAACAACCAACCAAGTGACTGTGTTTCCAAGCTATTATACCATGGCATTTGCAGAATTTCTAATGGATTTCTTTCTCATATATTTCCATTCCTAATCTTGCCAGTTTTCACTACTCCTTTGGCTCCACGTAACTTGGAGCATAAAATTACATGTCGCAGATTATAGACCAAATTATTCCATGGACTTTTGGGCGCATCAGAACTGGCATTTGACAACATGGTGAAGAACTGCTCTGTGAATAGGTCTTATTTTTGCCAAGTGAGACTTCCTGACTGTGAAATATTTACGAACACATTCACCAATTTTCCTCCTTCTCTGTCTCCTTCTTCGATGTGTTCAGAGTTGCTAATTTACAAAAATAGTAATAATATCCAGGCTGCCTGCTCTTGCCCCATTTCTTGTTTTTTTTTTAAATTAATATGCTATCAAGGGTCATTGCCCTGAGCTATTGAATAAGCAATATTTTCCAAGATCCAATAAACAGCCTTCCCCACCTTGTTAAGTTTATCAGGCGTAGCAGCGACGTGTAGTTCAAACAGCAATTCTGTTAGCGTTGTAATAAATTCATCTCTTGCTTCTGTGGCAATTACCAAGGAAAAAGAGTTAAATTAAGAGAAAAAACATTCTTTCTGTGCCTAAACAAAAGGATTCTAATTAGATGTAACCTTTTCTCCTTCTTCCTCTGTCATATTTTAGCAAACAAATAGCATTTTTGGAGGTTGGACTAGATGATCTCCAAGGTTCCTTACAATTCTATTATTCTGCATTCTAACTAATTCACTGGGCAATGTTCTCTTCTTTGTCCTAACAGAAGAGGATAACTTCTAATTTCCAAGATAGCCGTTTACTTTCCACCTTGGAGATGGTATCTGATTCCGTTGCACGCGGGGGGGAAATTGAAATACATCTTACTCAGCAACGAAGATAAGGCTGTTGTGTGGATGTTTCATTTCCCAATGAGAAGAAAACTTAACAAATAAAAAGTATCCACAAATTTCATCATATTGAGAAGAGAAGGCAAAACACAGAAAGGACTGGAGAAGTCCAATTAAATTTAAGAAAATAGTTATTTTCAATAGAAAGTGCTTCAGCAGAACCTTTTAAAGGATCCAGCTGCTTATATCTTACAAAACATATGCTCCATAGTTTTGAATCAATAATTGGATCCTTGAATAAAGAAGTGGGGAACTTGGCCCTTTTATGACTTGTTGACTTCAATTCCCATAATTCCTGAGCCAGCATGGTTCCTGGCTCAGGAATTCTGGGAGATGAAGTCCAGAAGTCACAAAAGGGCCATCCTTCTCCATCCTTCCTTTAATAATTGTCATTCAGCAACTACCTTTTTTAATTTCTTTGTCCTGGTTTTCTGAGTCTTGCGAAAGGAAGACTGCCTTAATAGGAATCAACACATTTTTTGCGGCTTCTAGTTCCTCTCCTTCAAGAGATGCCAAATACGATTGTACCTGAAAAAAATAAACATTACAATACCAGATATCTATATTTTGGGCAGACTATTTCATCATAGCTGTGGTATAGCACGTTTGAGAAAAACAGAAGAGGTCTGTATGCATTAGACTTACAATAAGCACTGATATATTACCTATTACTGTGAAACATTTCCAATAAAATAATTCAGATCAGAGAGCGCCAAGGACCCCCTCATTTCAACCCAAAGCTAGAAATATTCACCTCTATCAAGAAAAGAGATTAGACTTACCATCGAGTCTATGCTAAAATGATATTATTCTATTTGTATGGTCCTTGGTACACTCTGAGCTTGGTGGCTTTCTTGCAGACATTTCATTACCAAACTAGGTAACATCAGTACTAGTAGGAAGAGGGGATTGCTCTTATTTTATATTCGCCCTGTTCATGTTGGCATATAAAATGTGGGCAAACCCCACTCCCTTCTAGCATTGACAAGGTTACCTAATTCAGTGATGAAACGTCTGTAAGAAAACCACCAAGCTCAGAGAGTACCAAGGACCCCACAGTTCAACCCTGAGTTATTCCACAGGTCCAAAAGTCAGTTCTAATGAATCCATTGCAGTAGAGTACCCCAAGGCTCTATTTTAGGCCCAGTACTCTTCAACATCTTCATCAAGGACTTTGTCATGCCCCTGGTGGAGACTGACTCTGAGGGAGAGGAGGAACAGCCAACAGGGAGTGGAAGTGTGGCTCCGGAGGCTGTGGAGGAGGCTGGGGAAGGGTAGAGGCCGGCTGGGCAGTCAGAGGAGGACCCAGGCCCATCCCTCTCCATCCTAGGACATGCAGGGAGGAGAGGATAAGGGAGAGACGTGGTCAATTCGGGAGGAGAGGGCCTTGATTCTCTTCATGGGCTGCAGCTGTGACAACTGAATAAGAGTTTGAACCTGCATACTGGTGAGCACTGGAAACAAAGCATGTAAATATCTCTAGTTTATGGTTCCTCTCTGAGTTTGGCGTCCCTCCCAGTGTGTTTTTCTGATATCTGTGGACATTTTCTAGCCCTTATCTTGCCTGGTTGGTGCTGTTTTTTACTCTTTATAATTAAATAGAATCTCCTCCTTCTTGTAACTGCTCGTGGGGGAGTTTTTTGTCAAGGATATTTGGAGCTTGGAAGCAAAGTGAAGCAAAAAAAGGGGCTTCACCTGTTTTTTGTGTGTGTTTATTTTGTCTTCCACCCTGGCTTATCACACATACCTTCCATAAACACAACCTTGTGACTTGTGGTACAGCAGTCCACTCCCTAATGGTCTTGGCCCCACATCTGAGTCCTCGCTCTCCTCAGCCATCTGCACCTGCTGCCGGCTAACCACAACACCTTCCGAGGTGGGTAAAATGAGGGCCCAGATTGTTGGAGGCAAGAGGCTGACTCTGTAAACCTCTTAGAGAGGGCGGTAAAGATTATGAAGTGGCATATAAGTCTAAGTGCTATTGCTTGTGAAGGAAAGAAAAAGGAAGGAAGGAAGGAAGGAAGGAAGGAAGGAAGGAAGGAAGGAAGGAAGGAAAGGAAAGAAAGAAAGACAGGAAGGAAGGAAGGAAGGAAGGAAGGAAGGAAGGGAAAGAAAGAAAGAAAGAAAGACAGGAAGGAAGGAAGGAAGGAAGGA